TGTTTGAAATGTAGCCCAAGATTCTCTCAAGAAAAAAAGGAGATTGGCAAAAGGACAGTTATTGAAGTCAAGTCTACAACATCACATCCATGGGCCACATCCTATTCATTCTCTTCTATATTTCACACCATGCGTATAGATATGGAGTCAAACCATCTAGATCACTATTTCAGCATGAGGTCATATGCAACTTGGCTGTCCCATACTGAGACCTCGATTGCTACGTGATAACAAAAAATTTGAATACACAGTTAACCAGTCTATCAACGTACTAGTGAAAAGTCTTTTTTTTACACGAACAAGTTAAATAGAGGACCTCAACGACTGCCAAGGTCTAAGTTTGATCACTAAACTTCAATACAAGAAATTTGTAGTCTCTAGTGTCAAAACCATAAAGATTTACCCCGCAAAAAAAAAAGATTTGGTCCCTTTGATCAAGCAAAAGCAGATTTGATGACGACATGGCGGATGTTCCACTCACATAGTAGCCCGGTGAGCACAAAGAGTTGTCAAAAATCAAGAAAAATTGCAGAGGAAATAAAAACAGGAAAACAAATTCAGGGAAACAAATCAAGTAAAGTTACACAAGTTTATAGAAAAACTATTTGTAGCTATCAAAAATATTTTGCAAAACCATGGAATTCTGTGAAGTTATCAAATACTTTGCTACAGTACTTTTTCCCTTCAAATTATCATATTTTTATAAATATGTTGGAATATTCATGATTTTTCAAATTTCTTGCTGTTTTTCTAATTTCATCAAACCCCCCTCAAATTTTCCTACGAATCTTAATTTAAAATGGAGTTTAAAAAACTCTCCCAAAAAGCTATTTTTATGTTCTCTGTTTTCTATTTTTCTTATCCGCTTTTCAATTTTTTTTCCTTCTACTTATTTGACTTTTAAAGTAGAAAACTCCAACTACCCTTTTTTTAAAGTTTTTTGTCCATTTTTTAATGCCGACTAGGCTGCTAGACCATGGTTAAAACCACTGAGGACAAACTTTTGAATGTCTTCACTATTGAGTGAGCACAAATTTATAGTATTGCAGGTGGGGGTCCAAATCTAAACTTCAGTGGT